GGGGGGGGGCGAGGTAACGGAGTTGCCGATAAGGTCAATTGGCCTTGTGCACTTCCCGTTCTTGCAAACATCTGCAAGTGGGTATGAGGCGTTACTTAAGAAGTGCTAGAATGGGGTATGGGGAATGAAAAGAAGAAGAGTGAAAAGTATGTATGGAAACATAAGCGTTACTGGTAATAATATGAAAATGGAGTGTATCTTATTGCCGATACTAAGGTTGGGGAATACACTATTCGTTCTCAACGCTTAATATTTGTGTATTGCATGACCGGTTTTTCCCAGGCTCAGAGAAGCTTGCTGTAATTCTTCATAAGAATTTGCCAAAATTGGAGCAGATTTTTCATTGGAACTTCACAAGAACAGTTTATGAACCGTGTCACCAAGATTTCACAAGATGGGCCTTGTGCCACACTAGATGTGGTGTGGCCACAGTATTTCCGTAGCTTACGTCAGCTATGTAATATGTTGGGCGATTGTATTGTACTTAATAATGACGGTATTATCAAATATTTAGCTATGGTTAAACATATAAATATAATTTACCAGATTATTAGAAGCTAATGACTCCCAGTCAGTGGGATTCCTTGCTAGTTGTAGATGCTATAAGGAGACAAGTATTAATGAAAATTTATGTGATAAAGGTTTTGCAATAGTCATTCACTACATCAGACACACGTCGAATATCTTTACGAATGTGCCTAATTAACTCCCTCAGATCTTTTTACTAGTTCTGCATCAGCATTTTCATCGTCATTATGTATCTGTATCTCAAAATTGTTTACTAAGTTAGTATTGGCAAGGGAATCGTCGGAATTATCATCGAGCGACCTGCTTGACTAATTTTCTTGTAGTCTTTGTTTCTGCAGTGAACAGAATGATCTAAATCAAAAATCTTTGCTAGGTTTCCCATTTTCTGTAGTATTATTCCAAGCCGTTATCATTCCCTTGACAGTAAAGTACATCTAATGTAGTCACAGTTATTAAATATGTTTAAAGAATTTGAGATTTGAAGAACTTAGTTGGGCTTCTACGGTTACATTTATGTCCAACGTTCCGATACTAGAGTAGAAAATTGTCGACACTATTTCAGGCCTTCTAAACGGCTCGAATTCACCGATGCTGTGGCACTGTTCAATGTCCGCACAAAGTTTTCTGCCAACGCACTTGTCTGAAGATGACACTGGACTGTATACAAATTACGACAACCATTATCTCTAAACCATTCATTGGAGTTCTCAGTGAGTTGAACCCCATCACCAGTGACTAAGACAGTTAGTAGTCTTTCACGACTGAAAATCTTCTTCATTATTCTGTGTTTAAATTTCGAATTAGGAGCAACTATAAGTTTTATTTCTGGTCATTCTCAGAAGGAGTTCATCATAACTGAAGAATAGTATGAGTCTGGGAAAGAATCACAGTGACCTGCATGAATGCGCAGTCATGTCTCACATGACGCAGACCATAGATCCCATAGTGATCTCTTAGACGATGTTCTATGTCAACAACCAGACCACAATATAAGGATGTTTCCGGCCACTTGCATATTAGATGTACCGATGATTTTATTCTCTCAGCTGTGTTTGGAGAATTAAGATCACCAAATATAGAAAGTCGTAATGTTGGAATAATAACGACTCTGACATTAAAAGTCCTTCATGTATCCATTTATGGAATTCAGAGAATTTTCGCTCGTGGTGGGTATTCCGACTCTTCTTCATTGTACTTATGATGCTTCCATAGTACTTCCGAGTATCTTGTATGTGTCGTATTCCGACAAAAAATAACGCATGAACTAATAAACTAACATTGATATCAGTAGGAAAACTCTCAACTGAATAGCACTACAAGAAAACCGTTATTCCGGCCGATAGCTGTTACCTTGACGTGGAAGCCGGGCTTGTACGTCACAGTGACCCAACGAGATACACTAGCTGGAACGCTTGTTTGCTCCAGATTCTACTATTCCGGGAAGTTCTGTTGCATAGTAGTGAGACGTTATTGTAAATCGCTACACTTTGATGGGAGTCCGACGGTGAAGCCTTCCCGCTGCTCGGATGTGATGTGATAGCAATAAGGTGTTTTTCTTGAATGACCAGCAGTGCCACGCTATGCTGCCCTCCCAACAAAAAGCGAGGTGCGGTAGAAAAGGTCTTCCGCAGAAATGGCATACTCCCTCTCCATCACAATCTTCCTGAGCCAGTAGTATTGTTTCTGCTATCCAGTGTTAGAACAACTGAACCTGAAAACAACATATCATATAAGCTAGTGTGACACGCCCCAGGTAGACGTCCCGTTGGCTCCGCAGTCACACAAACCTTTTTGTCTTTGAGGAACCTCGAGAAGAAATAGGCTTCCACGGTATAGGCAGCTGGAAAGTGTCAACCTCCCGCATGCTTCCGGTGGTACACAAGACCCAGTCACACATAGCCAATCCTCCTCAACTCTATCTTATTTGCTTTCAGCTTCAGAAGCAGAAATGCTAGGCACACTAGGCATGACAGTGTTGTGGAAGAGTATTGGTCATTTTTTGTGTTGCTCGCCCTGAAGCCCTCCAATATTTGACGCGTAACATAGTTGCCACTTGAGAAGTCTGTGATATGGTTATGTAAACATAGCAATGGTGCGAGGCAATCGACGTCACGATGCATGCCTTCTGTCACCCTAGTATTACCCAAAATATCACGTTTGTTTTTGGTTACATCATTTTATACGTTCGTCGCCAAGTCTGGTAGATAAGCGGAAGGGCTGTTCCTATTCAAATTATTCTCAGACTTTGGTCATAGGCTCAAAAACTTCAGTTTTCCAACGGATGGATCTACCATGTTACCTTTATCGGCTGAGGACAAAACAATAGAGATGTAGTATTTGTCGATGAAGACGGTTCGTGTGCTTGGCCCATACTAAACAGATGTAAGCCATCAGCTTCATCCTCAGTTAGTCAACAAACTTAAATGGCAAAATGAATACGCAAGAGAAGCTTTACCTTTCAATAACTATCCTCCCTAATCCATTCAGAATTACGTAAGGATGCGTAAAAAAAGGAGTGGTGATTTGAACGATAATTGGAACATGAATAAGGAGGGATTCAAGGCCTTTGTAGTGTTGCCATTTAAGGATGGGAAATCAGAAACCTTACATAGGATTCTCAACGAGGCTGGCATTAGGGTAGCATCCAAACCTACATACTCACTCAGAGACACGCTTTTTCGGCCCAATTAGACAGAATAATTTCGTTTACCAATTACCGTGCAATTTTTGCAATGTCAAGTACATAATTCAAATTAGTTGAACGCGGTCAGCCAGATTAATGAAAGATAGGAACATAGCTAGGCCCAGATTGATAGACATTAAGAAGTGAGTAATCCACCTTGCCTGGTTAACTAGTTCGCTAGTTACTAGCCGGTCCTAAGCCCGGGTAAAGAGGGAAGGTTGGGCATAGGGCTAGCAACCCTACCCCGTAAAACAAATCTAACCGCTAAAGAAACTTCAAAGTACGAACAAACGATAAATAATAAAAACAAACTTATTCTTGGCTGGAATCGGAGAGGCGAAATGACGCCAGTTGGTGAAAGCCTGCCTTGGGGAAGCCAATCGGCCGATGTGTCTTCTCTCGATGAAAGCGAAAGTAAACGTGGGGAAATGGAATGTCCGCACAATGTTTGAACCCAGCAAGGCAGCCCAGATTGCGAACGAGATGAGAGGGTATCACATTGAAGTGCTAGGAATTTGCGAAAGCAGATGGAATGGGAGTGGACTCTCCAAACTGTCGGCTGGAGAATCAATAATCTACTCTGATATTGTCACCCAGACGACAACCACGAGCACACTGAGGGAGTGGCTATCATGATGTCTCCAAGAGCATCGAAGGCTGTCTCTCATGCAGTGGGAACCAATCTCCTCCAGGATTATGGCAGCAAGATTCAACTCAAAAGGAAGGAAGGTCACGATCATACAATGCTACGCTATGCACCTACAAATAATGCAGAGCAAGAGAAAAAGGAGGAATTGTACAGACAACTGCAATCAAAATTCTAATGGGTGGGGCAACATGAATGCCAAACTGGGAGGGGACAGCACAGGAAGAGAACTAACCATGGGTCGAGAAGCGCTCGGTGAGGTGATGAACGAGAATGGAGAACTGTTTGCAGAATTCTGCGCATTCAACGATTTGGTGATTGGAGTCAGGTAGTGTGTTCAAGCACAAGGATATCCACAAAACGACATGGATTTCACCAGACACCAGGACACACTAATAATCCGATCGACTTTATCTCAATGTGAAGAAAGTGGAGACGCAGTCTACTTGACACAAGGTCAAGAAAAGGGGCAGATGTAGGTCAAGTAAAAGATGAATACAAACGGTCTAAACTTTAGCTCCTATGTGCTAAAAAGCGATATTTTCTTGTTCATTTAATAACTACACGAGTCTTTTGACGTTTTTAATATGGCTTAACGACCTCTCTTCTGAAGCAGTCACAACCCTAATTTTTGTAGATGTTTTAGCAAATATCAATGTGCATTTGGCATGTCGACTGTTACGTTGTATTGCTTGTTCGCAATCTTCTAGCCTGTCCACCCAAAAATATCTGTCTTTCTACACAACCTGACAAATTTGGATCATATTCTGGCAGCTAAGTTTTGTTTTTCCCGGATCATGAACTAATGGTACTCAAACAAGTACAACTAATTTGCTGTTGGCATGTTTCTAGTTACCTCACATTCATAACTTCTAAACTACTGTTTAATTTGTATTTCCGGCCGATATGAGTCAGATTATGATCACAAAATGCTCAATTATATCGGTTCTCTCTTTGTTCAGGCGCAAGCTGTAGAATACTTTCCAAGTTAGACTAATTAATAACTATGCAATCTAGAAGTTAGGCAGGTGGGTAACTAGATATTCTGCACTGGAATTCATAAAAGGATGAAAGGCATTTTATATTGCCAAAGGGTGAATAGAAAGAAGTCAAGTAACTGAAAACAACCAACAAAAAATATTTTGATAATCGTACATTGGACATTGTATAGACTTTAATTGCCTGCCTTTAAAGGTCATGACACATCTACAAGTCTTTTGTTAACTGTGACAATTTAGCGCGATGACAACGTTTGCGACTCGTTTGTGTGGTTATTCTGTATTGGGTGACACATGCAAAGCTGCTCTAGATGTCTACAATTGGGTTAAGAAAAAAGAGTCTGTTGGGTCGATAGTTCAGACAGCCGAAGATAAGGCTGTTGCTGTAATGAAACCAATAATTGAAAGTGGTATGTTGTGTTTCGTTTCCCATCCTCTTCAATTTTTGATATCACTTTGAATGTTTTCTTCATGTTCAAAGTTTTTGAACGATGGATATCGATACTTATCGTTACGTCCTGTTGCTGAGTCACCCAGTGTTTTGAGTCCTCCAATGATGTCACTCAGAGTTTTCAATAACTCTTATGTGTACATATAAGATACACGTCCGAAATTCCTTATTGTTCCAGTTTTGGAAACCCTGGAAACACGTTTCATGTTGTATCTGAAGATCCCAAAATACTTTAATAATCTGACGATTGAATTTTACCCTTTCGTGCCTTATAGACCTAATTCCTAGTACTCATCATTTGCCACAAACTGGTCAGACCTCAAAGTTCGAGTCAGCTAACCAATGCCTTTATGTGTATCAATAATTAAAAGTTTGGGTCATTTGGGTACCATAAATCAGTATTTGTAGGTGACTGCAGCGGAGCATATATATTAATAGTAAAGACTTCTTGGCCCTAATAGTCATATCACTCTCCATCCACCTTCCCTGTATTAAACGCCATGTCATCTTTTTCGATGTTGTAGAAGATGAAAACTTAAAATGACCTACTTTTTGTCAAAACCCATCTTCCGATTCACTTGTTGTCTGATTATGAAGTAGATATGACTTAAACAGCCTTTTGGCCAGCAAGTTGTTTGAAGCTAATTAGATTACTCCACCCACTTGAGTATAAGACTGTCAGTCAGACAGTGGTCAGCAGATCTATGTTCTTTCTTTCATTCATAATCCAAAACAAATTAATAATTCTCATAGGTAGGTGGTGCATCACTGAAAGCTATTTCAATTTTGATATGAATTTAAGTATTTAGGTGAACTTAAAATAAACGTGGGTATTCATGAGATAAATATCTGTCAATGGTAGTGAATGTTTGAGTTGTATCTCGACATTATTTCGGGAACGGCCGGAAAATTAGAAGCTTGTGGTATTTACTAAAAAAACTATTTAAGGTGGCAGAATTTCCGAATTCACTAACTTCACCCTTTATGAGAATTTTTTGTGGCTAACAAAATAAATAAGTGAATAATTTTAATAGATATCAGAGATGTTGATTATCAGTCTTGACTTGAAGGATTCGTTTGGATTCTTGTTACACATTTCAGATAGGCACTATAACCACTTCTAGAATGTAACAATTGTGTGTGCAGTCATCAAGTGATTCTCCTTATATCCTCATGTGGTGCAGACGTGAATAAACATAGGCTGCAGAAATATTTTTCCTTACCGACTTTCAGTTTAGCTTACTAAAAATTTAAGGCAAATTTTGGAGAAGTAGTTTTGTATTGAAACTTTTCCCTCATTTTGCTTTATAAACCTACTCATATATTCTTCAAATGGGGAGAGGTGGTTTTACTTCTTAAAACACGACGGGTATGGAAAGCTTGTCTTGAGAGTTCTTCGGTAAGGGGTTGCGTACTGTTGTTTATCTCTTCACAGGCAACAACTTAATGTCTAAATTGAAAGTATTCTTGTCACTACTTTTACTTTAAATGCCGATGAAGATAGCCTATTTGATGTGAATGGAGACAGCAATAATCGACAAAGTTACCTATTTCGTTACTAATGTTATTTGTTGTTAAATAATTAGATAACACCACGAAAATTACTAAAGCGTTTTGCTATCAGCTGAAGTCAAAAACAGTAAAACTGATATAAATGCCACTTTCTGAAATAAGCATCTTGATCTCATGGTGTCTTATTAAGTAAATGCCAGATTGTAATTTTTCGAAGTAAAGGTTTGAAATTAGGAGTGATATCAATGATATTTAGTTTACAGCACCAATTAATTGTGCTTTCGGGTATGCATAAAATTTGGCAAATAGAGTAAAAATCGTTAAGTGTCTAAGATGTTTATGATGGGAATCTGGCAAGACCGTGGTAAATAAGGTTACAAAGAATGTGGACAATACCGATCATAGTTAGATAAGTGACGAAAATGTGAGAGAGGAGTCCTAAAATGTTTTAATTGTATTTGATGACTGTTGGATAGATGAAGTAAACTGAGGTAGAAGGGAATAACGGTGGCAAACTAACTGTTAGGATGGCTGAAATACGTAACTGAAATAGTAGTAAACTAAATCGTACTTAGTTATCATTACTTTATGTAAATATAGACTTAGTCTTTTGTGGCATAATTATTTGATTTTTGGAGATACATGTGTCTATCTAGTGATAATAATAATAACGATATATATATATATATTTCGAATAATAAATTATACTTATGTTGTAACCTGTTAAAACTTGTGCTTGACTCGGTATTGTCATGTGGTTGATGATGTTTTTATTTGAAATGCGTACTGTATACCACAAAGAAACATTTAAAGTTACAAAACCCCTGCATCTTTTTGAACTCTGCGTTTATTTCTGCAGATAAATGGGATGGTATACAATTCAAGGCGTAGAGAGTAAAAGATAAATTGTCTCTTGATAACTTCAAAATTTACATAATTTGAGAGTCAAAAGCTTGATCAATGTGACATATCCGAAACAAACCAGGGTTCACAAACGTCTAACTTATAGAAGTTATTTTCCTCCTTTTTGATTTTCTATGGTTGTTTGTAGACACTAATCAGTACTTATTTTTACTTTAAATGCTCGCAAAGGTTTCATTTTTTCTATGTAAGCTTCTGTTTTAGCAAAAGAAGAAGCTTTTATGTTTCTTTCAGTAGCAGCAAACATGATTTTTATAAGTGTCTCGTTTACTTTGCATATGGTTTTCTCCCTCAATCATTGTCTATGAATAGTTTGTAGTGTTTTTTGCATAATGATCAGTACCGCCGAAACGAAGGTGATATATGCAGAATTTTAGGATTGTCAAATGACAAACAACTTCAAGCGTTAGGTAAAAATGATTCTTCGATTTCAGTCGCAGTAGTTAGTTTATTTAGTCATTCACATGTTTTCAACCTAACATCTCTTCAGTCTTACAAAAATAACTAGAAAAGGGGTAACATGCGTCTGTTTGAAGAGTGAAGAATTTTCTAGTCAGCTGGATCAGATTTCCTTTATTACTGGATGAATTAAACAAAAGTATTGCCATTTAGAATCTTTTAACCATCTGCTTTATAAAACGTGCAATATGCGTAGATTTGATATTGCGTATGTAATTTCAATGTTTGGAAAATGAGTTAACAGAGGGAGCAGATTAGAGAAGTTTGTGCACTTGGTTTGTTCATTTTATCTCAGTACTATCATCACTGACTATACAGGGGGAGGAGGGTGGATTGGTGGTTGGTTTGTTTCTTAAGTTATTGATCAGCAGGGGCTTGGATATTAAATTTGGCTAAAAGAAAACAATTAATTACATTTTCACGTGTAACCGTTTTCCAATATTTAGTAAACAAACAATATCCGATTTTACGTTACCTATCAGCTGCGAAATTCACTTACAGATGTTTCATAGCTATGTGATTACTTTGAAGAGAGTTGGTTTCTAAAAGCAGTTATGTCAACGAAATCTCACCGCCAGATGCAGTTTTGTAATACTTCATGTAGCTCAACTCATTGCATGAAATATTCCTCATATAATTTTCAGATCATTTAAACTTCCATTACCGTTTTTGTATATATGACGCTAATAAAGATATCCCGTTGTTCTCTCTAAATTGATTTTCTTAACTAGGAATCATTCAAAAGATTGATGACATGGCTTGTCATCATGTACTGGATCGTGCTGAGGCAGCTTATCTACAAATAAAGAATACGTCAAACGAGCATTTGATCTTACCTACTGCAAATTGTGCTCTCAATATAGCTGAGACTTGTGCTAACTTATACCTACCAAAAGATGATGTATGTTTTTAATTTTGTTTAGACTAATGGAAAAATTTAATTTAAATTTGTACTGTTTTATATGTTGGCGTTGTCATTGAGTAGTAATTAAGTGCTCATTGCTGACTGTCTTCACTTTAAATTTTCTACAGTTACGACTAAGTTTCCGTCTGTTGGCCGAGATAAGTCAAGATGATGGCTGTCCTATTGTATGATGAACTGATTAAAGTTTGAACACGTAGGACATTACATTCAAATCCAATATCTAAACAGTGGATTGCTCGTCACAATTTCTGAACATTTATGGTCTAGTCCCTTGACAGATTGGAGGTGCGGGCTGCTGACAAACCACAAACCAGGATAAAGATAGGTACCCAGTGTATTCTAATCTTCAGTGGCCTTCTTATTTATGTCAGGTGGGGGTGTAAACTTCACGTAGATGTTTCATTTAAGTAGCTAAGTTCTGTCTCAGTTTTACGTCAGCTGTAATGTTTTAGTCTTTCAGTAAACCTTTTTCAATTTATATTCTGAATCCTTAGGATCCAAAATTTGCTGCTGGAGGTGACGCCACACCATCGGAAAGACTGGTTCGATTGCAACAAAGAGCATCAACGCGTGCAGAAGTACTGATACATTCTGCAGTCTCTCATGCCAATTCGCTTTTGTCTACACTTGCTACATATGGTAGTAGTCTGAATCAAACAGTTTCGAAAGCGACCATCAGAAATACACTTGCTCAAGCTACAGCTTTGTATGAGTTAGCCTATTCTACTGCTAAAACTGTCAGCCTTCCCATAGCTGCCCGTTGTATCAGCGTTATTCTTGGTCGTGTTCGAAAACTCAATGAACAAATAAAGGAGGTGAGTTTATTTGCTAATATATAGGAGTTGCCTGTAAGTGGATAACTACCGAAGTTATACCTTTATGTACTCGAAATAATGCTTGATGCCAACATACTTCATTTTGCAATTTTTTTCGACTATCATTAAATCCAAACATAAGGATGGACAGTGTCTCACTCGTAGTCCGCCGATGTCCAACTAACAATAGGTAAACGTCAATCATATTTTTATAAGCCATCGTTGGAGATGGTTGATGGAAGATTTACACTCGTTCTGTAGCGTTTGCTTGAACTCTGATCACAGGTTAGTATGGATACGTGTATGTTTGCGCATTCATAGGCACGCGAAACACTAGTCAGTTAAATTTCTACGTACTAAACTGGAAGAAGAGAACATCAAGTATGCTTTTAGGAGAGAGGTAACTGAGCATTCATCTGGATATGACAACACTATTCTTTCTGATGAGGTATGGTGTAATGTACTGTCTACTATAGAAACAGCGGTAGACCGAGTTAGTAATCTTTATCTGAAGGCTACAAAAAGTTGTTGGATTTCTGTAACCTCACCCGAACTGGTTAATGCATGAAAACTCATTCTAGTTGGTCCCAACTGCAATAAGGAGCTTAAGCGGCTCAAAGGTGATTTGACTAAGAGTCTTTGTAATGAGCACACTCGACGAAAAAACATCTACATTGGATAATAATTGACTGTTATTTAGGCTTATTAAGGATGCTGACAAGCAGAAGACGTTGGTTAGTGAGATTATTGCCAAAAGAAGCAGGTCTATGATAACGTATCATGACAGGCGACTGAAACCCTAGTCAAAACACTGTGAAGAACAGTTTTACTGACCCACAGCTTCTCCTTACTTGTTCAGTAGCAAGTCATAACCTTAATGTGATGCATATATTGAACCTTCAACTCTTCCCGAAGTTGAGTATGGTGTTTCAAACGTAAAACACTGCAAAGCGGCAAGATCTAACTAGTGATCATCATATGGTTCTAAGAATGAAGGCAAAAGTTTAGTCAGTAGAGAAAGAGATAAACTAGGTAGTAAATAGGAATGGGAAATTTTCCTGTCACACTGGTCCAGATTGTCAATTATTCCTGTCCTTAGGAGAGATGTGGCGTCTTCATGTGATGATCATGGGGTAGGGATCAGTTTTACCAACTTTTTTCCGAGATCCTGTGATTCATAGTTATTTATCACCCAACTGGAACTCGATGACAACAAATTAGAGAGGACTGGACAGGTTTCAGATGTAGACAATGAGTGCATTGATCAGATCTCCAGGCTTCAACAAGTTATAGGAAGCAGGCATACTTAACCTCGGGAGATACTTTACATATTTATTGACCTGAAGTTGCCATTTCACTCTGTTGACTGTGAGGTGTTATTGCAGTGTCTGACTATGGAGGTAGTATCGGACAGGTATGTGACGCTTATCATGGCTGTCTAGTCGAACTCATGCGGCCTCAAATGGTTTATGGAGGTCGTCATCTGGAGTAACAACAAATCGATGGTATCTGCCAGGGATTCCACTGTCACCATCCTTGTTTAACTTTGTAATACACATGCTATGGGGTACAACCCTAGGTGCCTCAGACTTCTTAGGGATTGACCTACTCTCTGGAGGGCATCTGGTCAACTTGGAGTACCTAGACGATATTATCTTGTTAAGTGAAGACACTGACAAAATGTAAAGCCTTATAAACGGCTGAGTATACTGACATGCGTTTTTCACCTGTCAGATGTAATATATGATGGGTGAAGTGGTTGGATGCGTTGAATACTTCGCTTACTTGAGGAGTTGCATCGACGTGACTTGGCTGGTTGCTGATGAAATTTCAGGTGAAATGTAAGAGGCCCGTTTGACACTGGTGAAATTACGTTTTATCTGGCCGCAGCAAGTTGTCCGACTGTTTAATAAAAGAGTTTACTGCGCATCATTGTCTTTTATTATATATCAGTAAGATATGTTTTCTGAATGAGGAAGATATGAAAAGGTTATATGTGTCTGACCAGGTCCTTTTTTCTTAACGTTGGTTGCGTATGGTAGAAGGACCGTGCGAGCATTGATGAGGTGAAGCGTGGGGTATTAGGCAAGAAAGGGTAGTCAGTCAATGAGATTTCGGACCTTCACCAGTTGAGGTGTCTTGAACTCTTGTCGAACCACCTTTGTGACTGCTGAAAACCAATCACAATGGTGCAGATATATTCACCGCTTGATATCTTATAAAGCTTGAATATTCGAACTAACCTTTATCTTCAGTTCGTTTATTCTTTCACAAAACTTTGTCTACTTTGGTATGACTTTTTTTCTGTCCATCTGTTCTTTGTGCACTACTGTAAAGTGCGGTAATTTGAGCTCGTCTTTTTTATGATTGGAAGTAATGATTATGCAACACTTCAAGTTATTCCTGTCACCCAGTTCTCCTGGATTATAGAAACTTGGTTGGATGGAGGCTGTCACACTATGAGTCGACTAGAAGGTCAGACAGAGATACGTTTTGGCGTAGCCTAGTGGTATATATTAAAGGGGAAAAGAATCAAATAACTAGTTGCAGTCAAACTATGAAAATCAGCAAAACCTAAAAGCATTGGCCACCAAGAAGACTGACAAACTGGCTGAATCATATCTCTTACTGTATCATATAACTAATTAAAATCGTTGCTTATACACAGTTATGTGAACTTGAAATAATATTGACCGATATCATAGAACTGATAATTCACAATTAATCCCGAGTAACAGAGAAAGTCATAAGATAGCCAACAAATTCTCACTAATCTTTGCAAGACTACTTTACTAATACACCACTACGATAAATGATTGTCATCAGTGGTAATATGAAGATAATTAACGCCATTAAGATGTATTTAGTACTTAGGCCACTATAGTCCAACAATTAGCATGTAAGGTGCTTGTGAAAAGATATCACATTCACTGTCAAATGTCATTATACTGCCTTATAAAATGTCTCAGACAGAACACTTCTGATGTTTATTATAGTAACCCATCCTTTGGTGTATCATGAATCGTAGTTGGAAATATCATTTACGGCTGCAGCAGTAAACTGGAAAAGTCGAAGGCTGTCTAGATGAAGATACAACACAAACCGATGAAGGCTATAATTCTTCATCTAGATCTTGTGAGGATCTTTCGGCCTCTCATTTAGTGTATTTTAAATACTAGAAGTTGGTGGTTGAAGATTTTTAAGTTCTTTTTCTAAGGATCAATCTCAGATAACTTTTAATATTTTCTAAAGTCATAAACATGTTATCTTCGATATCTTCTTGTTTTTACTATTCATTCTTGTTCATCATTCTTTTTATTCAACTTGGAGATTTGTGGGGATTGATAAGCTTCAAGGTAGTATTCGTCACTGACTGATATCAGTTAGAGTACCACTGGAAACCTAGGAGTGCTGGACAACTGTTTCTTCCTAGTGCTGGTTACTGCAATATAGCGGACCCATAATCTCGCTAGGAATTGTGCTCAGTACTGTAAGGTGTCATCATCAGCACGTTGACCCTCGGTGGTCCACATTCTCCTACTTCAATCACTTCGCGATATGTTTATATTAATAAATTTACCATTTTGTGGTTATTTTACTTACTTTTAAACATAGTGGCGGCTTTAGCTGATACACTCTTGTTCAATATTTTAAATCGTTGTGCTTGACCATGCATGTTGGTGATTAAAGTCGATCAATTTGACTTTATAACGGAACAGGAACTCCAAGTTTGATTATCGCGTAACTGGAACATTTTATGAATAAAACTACTCTGAGAATTTTTAATAGAGTTGATTCCCTTAGGATTGTATTACTTTTGGTTACTTGATTTTACTTTTCTTCAAACTAAGTTTTATGCAATATTGACTAAATTACTAGCAATAAGATACTTTGCTCAAGTTTATTTCAACTATTCTAACTTGGGTTTGTTCAGTGGTATCATTGATTTTCATTGCTTCGTAAAAAGTTCAATGTCGTCATAAAAATTCTTTTGGGATTACTGAATTGCGAAAAAATTTCCAAATGTTTGTCAATATCTTTAGTAGTGTTTTTCACTATTACATTTAGTCGATTAGTTTCATAGCTATAAAACTAACTAGATGTTTTCTCATTTTTGTATTTTAGTCAAAGGCAATTAATTGGATGGACTTGAAACAATTAGTGACAGTTCTTGAACATATGAAAGAACGCTTAGATGGTCATGAAGTAATAACAGAAATTGAACTTGAACCAATTACTGAGAAGTCAGAAACATCATTGGTAAGTATGGGCTTAATACTTACATAATATCAGAAAATCATATTTATTTATGAATTCATACTGATGCGAAGTTGCTTACTTCTGTGACGTTCATAGTCAACATTTCCGCGAGGAAAGGCGGGGCAAAAGGGGGGAACGTTTTCAGAACACGAGGAAATGAGCGGCAGAAAGCGGGAGCAAAAAACCTCGGGATAAAATGGGGAAATGTTACAAAATTGATCGTTTTGACACGAGTTTTCATTACATTTTCCAGCATCCTCCCACAGCTTTGCCTCGTGTAAATGTTGACTGGGGTTAGTTTAAATGTCTTTTTAGAACTGAGTTGCTTCTAACATCAGAATACACTTTGTGGAGTTTAGTAAGCAAAATGAGTAGTGAGTTCTAATTAATACAAGGGCTAATTTAAAGTGCGACTGAGTAACTACCATTATTGTTCAAGTGACCTGATCTTTGGTAAAAGTTACAGTCAGATTTAATGGAAATCCCCTACTCTTTTTCATCACAATGAGTGGATCGTCATCAAAAACAGATTGTTTTGAACGGATATGATTACCATTGCACACAGTTGTTATGACAAGATAGAAGGTGGTTATTCAATATATCTTTTGTGTACAAATCATGACATTACGAAAGTTAATTTGCGTTACGTCAAAACTGCACATTCGATTGAGCACTATGATATTTTAGAAGGATTTACTGGGTCCAAGTTTTGAGCTAAACTTTGTAGTGTCAGCTACTGGGTATTTTTAGTAGTTGCTTAAACAATATGTTGTATTTCTGTGAAGCAGTTTATGAATCAACCTGTGCTGTATAACGGCAAATAAACTAGTACGGCTTGGTAATACAAGCCGTAGAATACATGTCGCCAAATTTATCACGTGATACTGACCCCCTTCATGTTTCACTATCCGAATATCAACTTAATGCGATGAAATCAAAATTAACTCAGCAACCTTGCCACGTTGGTGCAATAGACAATAAACTACATCTATCATATGAGGGTTAATCATACTGTCTAGCTGCCCTAATTTTGGTAGGTGAAGCGGTACTCGAACCCGTAAGCCACTGGCTTAAGGCCAATTCCCTAAACCAACGAGCCATACCTCCTTGCTTGTCACTCTTTATCCACGCCTATGAGTCGCCCGGTGAACCAAAGACAAACGAAGTATTTACATCCCAATTATGAGTCTTTTCCCCTTCTTTCCTACAATAAATGAAAGGAGCCTGATGATCAGCATCCTTTTTGTGATGCTGGCTCTGAGTCATGGATGATTGCAACTCAATTACATGTTCATATCATACCATAACTCAAAAAAAGTGAAATAACTCATTAATTCATAGTAAACAGAATAAAGCACAGTAACTGATTTCCCTTAATATGTAGTTATTTCGAAACCATAACATCTACAGAAATAAGTAAGGAGTCGATACACAGCTTTGGAACTGAGCGACACAGTAAAACTATTGACTAATTCTTCGGTAAAATGTCCGCTAGAATAAATGAATTAGGATCGCTACTGTTTTTTAGTGATCCTCATATTCTTATGGTTGCTGAAATACTTCCAAGTTTCTCATTATTTCCCTCATTTCAAGTGTACATGCATGGAAGAAGAATCCGCCTATACAGCTGATAATCAATCATAAAATAGACTAATTGATCTATAGTTTTGAACCTACCCCTTTACATGTTGTGTCATGCAGTTGTGTTGGTAACTGAGTAAAGATATGGCAATAATATTTATAGCTTTATTCCAAACAGTATATTTGATACAGTATGGAATTCTCAGCATGTAATGACATAAAAAATTTACTACCAATACAAAATATTCACACAAAATGTTTATGGCATCTAAATGATGTTTATGATGAAAGCATCAAAGGTGATAATGCGAAGCAGCCGGTTTGTACTGGATAAGCCATCGGTGTTTAGTAGTGTTGGTGGTTCATTCACCTAGTAGAAAAATGTACTATTCGAGAGAGGTATCCGAAGAATAGAAATACAGTGTATTTTAGTGCATTCAAAAGTCTATTTCCATCTAATGTGACATTTTTCCTTCGTTTTGTTATTACTTCGAAAACGATTGTTTCAAAACATTTTAAAAATCTCTCAAGAGTAATCTATACGTTTGGAGGACATACTTAGGAGATTAAGACAAACTGAAGATGAGGGATTCGATACAATGTATCTAGTGGGAAATTTCTTTGGTAGTCCAAAGTTCAAGCAGACTGTTAGTTTGAAAGCATATTCTACCTCTGGTATCTTTGAATATGCGTTCAATTTCACCATCATTTCACATCCAAAGAAGAATGGCACAACTACATATCTACAAACTATCTTTCATTTATCTAAGGAGAATGGATAACAGTTAGATATATTGTTGAAAGTATTTTGTCTATTTAAAAAACCTGTTACTCCTAATTACTTTTTTAATTCTACGTCTCATAAGTCTACTTACTTATTTTACTTGTTGTAGCAGAGTTCATTGATGTTAATTGTTAAAAAACCTCAGAGGTTTGTTGTTTTTTTTTATCGCACAAATTCAAAGCAGAAACACTGTTATTATCTTTTATTTTTATTTTAATAGTCAAACAGATCTAAACCTATGTTTTCTTTGGATGAAAGCATAATAGGTGACGTCGCTGAACTATTTTCTAACTTTGTGGATTGATTAATATGCAGTAAACGTTAGAATATTGTTCAGTTATATATTGTTATCAGGACCAAATTATTATGCAGTTATAAAATGTTTCATTTATTCGCTTACCTCATTTGTATGAGCTTTGATATCAAAGGGAAAATTCCTTATTCATAGAGTGCTGTAGAGATCTAATAAACACCAGTTGCTTTATCGTCCGGGATGTTAATGTAAATAAGGAACTTTCAGACTTCAAATACACATTACCTCAGTGTCCTAAACAGTTGCTTACCTCCTCTGAGTTGTTAGTTAGTAATCGATCCTCTGAATTCAGCCATAATGTAGATGTGATAAAACCTGTTGCTTGGCATCTAAGTCCTTCGGTTCAAGTTGCTACATTTTTCAACACCATAAAATAAGAAGTGGGTAGATAATGAGTAATGTTAGGGTAAATAAAAGTATACTAGAAGAGAAAGAATAAATAGATGAAGATCGAAAGAAATCCTCAAGACTTTGAAGGTGCCTAGGAGTGTATGCCTTTCTTTGCCGTAGTGGTAGGTTTTCAAGCACAACACCAAGAGTCGCCAACACATTGATTAATATCATCTCAAGGACTCCGATCAAGCAGTTTAGGCCTCTCCATATGACTCAGAACAATGGTCAAAAGCCTTATGGTGCCGTATCTTGTTCTGATCATTCTTGATCTTATTCCAGTCCAAACCTACATCAGGTAACATTTCATTTCAACGTAGGTAGTGACTCAACATGTGTAACATCTGTCCACACCATCTCACTGACTAACTTGTCTGAATTATCTATCAATCTACCCCTTTTTGAGTATGATGTATCACCTGTCAGTGAACAGTAGATTCAGTATACAGCGAATAAATGTTTAACTCATTTGATTCAGCATTTCGTTTTCAATTAGTGTTGTGGGTTTGAATCACAATTTGAATATTAAAGTAGCATAATTAGCTGTTATACAGTTAAAATTGCTCACAGCTTGTGTGTGAATAGTTTTACAATACAATACAGTGACCTTTATCATTATTGTTATTATTAACTTTGTTTTTGGTTTGAATATGAATCAAGTGGGATAAACAAGTACTTTGTCCACGGCTTTAATGAATACTGATGCCTTTAGCCACTTTATCAGCTGAATTAGAATATCTGGTAAAAGCTAGAGTCCTGATATACGACATTTCTTTTCAGTGCGTATTTCGTCATTATTTAAACATATAACTGGCCGTCACTGGTGTTCTGCTAGGATTACTCAAATATTATATGTAATACCACTTAGATGAAACGTAAATGAACATATTATAGCCAATATGAGCAGTTTAAGATTTTCCCCAATGAATTTACCTTTACTAAAATATGGCATACTTGTGCCAAAACGTTGTATGAGGTAAAATAATACCTCTTGAAGCTGAAACTGTGCATATTCCAAAGAAGTATTTACTGGGTCTGAGTTTGAGTGGAAACGCTAACACTAGTTGTGATATCAATACATTTAGCTAATAAGTCATAGGTAGTATAAAGTCTGTGTTCTGCATTCTTTTACCGGTTGATATCTGAATAATGGTCAAATGCCTATCAGTAGGATACAAAATATGAGACTATCGTTCACTTTAAATACTTCTATATTTTGTAGAATAAGCTTGTATTTGTTTGCGTTTATTATTTTCATTTCATTTTATACAGGCTTATTATTTTCAAAGTAATTTGCTTGTATTATATTGAATATCCCGAAGTCTTGATTTTAGAACACCGTCAGTGTGTTTCCCCTTATATATGGTGGTTTAACATCTGATTCCGAGATTTTGTCATTTCCCCCCTTTGTTAAACCGTTGTTTTGCGCTTTCTGATGTGTAGTTTTGTTATACTGCATCATCCTATTCATTGACTAAAGTTAAGGATTATCCACTGTACGTAATGTGTACACAAAGCTGGTTGATCTTTTTTCATAGAAAAACAGATCTTGATGTGACGATGAACAATAAATTGTGTTCGAAACGTAATTCAGTAAATAATACTGTTTCACTGTGTGATACATCTAATAAACCAGTTTCAATGGAGTTTAGTTATATAATCTCAGCGACAAAATGAAATATTTGAGTTTATGCTGAAGTCTAACTTGTTCTTTTCTCAAACCCTTTGATAATTATAACTGATTTAAATTTGAGCGATTGTAAAAACCACCCTCACAACAACCACATTAATTAATTAGATTTCTCTATTTCATTTAAAACGATAGTTTTGCATAAAATAAACAAACCTAATTGGTTATTTTAATTGTTGTTAGGATGAGCTCTAAAGTTGCTCTTAAATGAAATGCAATATGGAAACAGCGTATATTCAATGCATCATTCAATACCTAGTTGGGTTATTTCAGTTAGAAACTTCATAGAATATTACGCGTTTATTACGATAGTGTGATTTCACAATAATCTTTTCAGTTTCATTCAACAACTGATGGTTTGACTTCTAATTGATCTATTGGTTTACATATGACCTATTTAAATCATTTGACAGTTGATGTAAAACGTCCTTCATTTATATATTCATCTGATTATTAAGTGGATTATGTTAGTTTAGTTAACTTTTAAGCGCTTTACAAGTACATGATTTCGAAGAATACACAGACCGTAGAGCATATTATTTAAGTCTAAACTATAGATGAAGAAAACACCAATGAAATATGTGATGTTTCAGGAGATTTTTTTAATGGGTATGTATATGTGGAATCATTACAGAATAATATCTGTACTCCTTTATTACTTAATACTGTATGCTTTGTGAACAGTATATCAAATTGGTTGATTTATTATTCACAACACATTCTGGCTAGTCAAGACAAATAAATCCATCAATAAGACAATAAACCTGAATCGTTAGTATGGATCACACAAATCAAAATGCAGCTTAGCCAAAGACATGATGTTAATTTATATAGGCAGTTTGAAGCATAATTTTATAAAGTTGCTGAATGTTAACATAAGCTACATGAAGGAATGTAGGCTACCTCCATATGATGTAGAAATAATTGTTTGTAGATGTTAAGGGACAAGGCAGAAAAGATCTCAGTATCTATTATTTCCTTATTGTGTCCTCATTCTGTTAGTTTTTTTCCCGTCGGTGAACAACAGATAATTTTGACAGAAAGTTTGGATCAGATTCACATTCGAAGCAGTAGTCTTCGGTACTTATAAAAATATTTTACATTTTTATCACCATTTCAGTCTTCAGAATTTCCTGTTTGTCTGTCTGCATAACACCCTACCTGAGGTTAATGCTGAGATGAATAAATAAGATATAAATCATGTTAGAGTGTCATGAAGTATTTTTATTGCTATACTTGATGTTATCATCATGCTTTCAGAAGGAATTTTGTCTTATTGATTTGTTAATATTACATCCTGATGGATGTAAAGTTCAATCACCTGCTAACAGTGTCACTTTCAGTGTATGAAACAACATCCAGCTGTCAGTAACTGACAGTTGTATGGAACCGAGAAATGATCTTTATGTTAGCGGTAATGATAGGAAATATGCAAATTCGATCTTACAGATAAATTGAAAGTTGGATAACCGTTTTCGTCGTTCAACAAACCAGGCAAGAAACCGGGTGAAGGTACAAGGAAACTGGTCAAACTAATTACCTTGAGCTTAGACATCTTAAATATTATATTAGAAGAAATTAAATGTTTGGATCTATCGATAAAAATTCTGAGACATACAGGCAAAATCTACATAGAACGTCATACAGAACTGTATCGGTTAGTATTTCCACATTTCACAGTAGCATACAAAGAACAAGAGGAGAGAAAAAAAGTAGTATCAGAATAGAGGAAGGTGTATGAGAGGAGATGGAATTTGGAAATGAAGAAGGTTAGTAAAAAAATACTCAACCTTTAGAAGACATCAGAAGATCTGCACCACTGTGACCAATTTTCAGCTATCTTACCAAGATGTCATCTTCCGACCCTAAACATGTAGACCACCTGTGTCTACACGGCTCAAACTAATAATCAAAAACTCCATGGATTGGTGCCACGTTTTGCTTTGGTCACCCTCAACTTGATTGCTACTTAATCTAAATTTCTGCTAACACTCCTAAACTTGGATTTACGCCAAAGTTCACTCAAAGCCGATATGTTATCAATATGCACCATTTTTGTCTATCTTATCATGTTAGTGTGGAATTTAAATTCATTGATTTGTAATATGAATTACTAATATGATGTACAACTTTTGCTTTGATATGTTAAAATCCAAATTTTATTTCCCTCTCATTGCTTAGTTTTCCCAGCATTCAGCGAAGGCACTATATTTCTACCTTTCAACTGGTATTCCTTAACTTATAGCATTCCCTAACAATAAATTTTAAAGAAAATTCTTTTATCTTTATTTTTAGACTTCTGGAAATAATGAAACTGAATCGGATAATTAAAATGATGGAAACAATCATGATTAATGATTAACATTCTACTTTCTTCATTGTCATCATCATCATGACTATCATAATTAAATCAGGTTTATTTTTTATAACAGTAGGATAAATTTGTCCATGGTGAACTTTGATAACAATAATCAGAGGAATATACTGCTAATCTATTTTTTTTTTCGTCTAAATTCTTTCGATTGATTATTTTACATTGAACTATTTTCATTTTTTTATTCTGAAGAAAATATACACAGTTAAATAAGAAGTTAGCGTAGTTTTATTAATTTCATTGTTCAAATCAGTGCATACATTCATAAGACAGCCTTTTTTTCTCCATGCTTAGGTAGGAAAGTCCAAATGATGCGCATTTTCAATGTGTTTTTTATACTTTCTGTGATGATTGATTTTCAGTGAGTTCTTGTCAGCTGTAGCATCATTGAAAGTTACGAAGGGAATCTTTGTTCTTTCATTCTAATATGGGTCTTTATTGTAGTGTACATTTACTGAAATTATCCCATGGTTTCTAAACCTCCTGATGAAATTAAGTTAGAGTCTAATGGTTCAACTACCGTATGGTGTCATAAGAACATGATTTCCAGGAGTCTCGCGCTAGGAATGAGAAAAATATTTACTGCTACTTGGCTTTAGATGGTTCTGTTTTATTCTACAAATACCCTTGTTTTTGCATTATTCAGACTCTATAACTGACTTCAGTGTGTAATGAAAACTAACCTATATATATATATATATATATATATATATATATATATATATATATATATATATACATATATCACTTAATAATTTCATTTTATTTATTCTATCTTGCTCTGAGGTTTTCACATCCACTGGTTAGTATTCATTAGTTAAATCAACAGTCAAGTTGTATACCAGTAACAAGATCCATGATACAATACATTTTGAGGCGGGAAAGATCAATATTCCTCATGAAAATCGACCTTCAATGACTGATCATCATTGTTGGTTAACAGCAGCACTGTTTCAGCCTTGTTATGAATGAAACTTACTTCACTTCAAAAAATTTTTATTTCTGAGTCGAAACATTTTGGCGCCTGGTATGTAGAAGTTCCTTTGTTCCTGATAACCAGCAAATATTATCATTCACTTGGACCTTCCTTATATTTGTCAGAGAATCTAGCTATTTAGTGAGAAAGATGCGCTGAATAACGCATACATTAACAGTGTTTTGAATGAGATAATGATATAGAGTTGTGCAGAACCGCCATGTATAGTTCTTTTCTTTACCACTTCCGAAATAATGATGTTTCGGTGCGCAAGTAATCATTAAATTGATAATACAGTTTCTATTGGTATTAATCCATAACATATTCTAGCCAGTTATCTTTAGTAACTGAAGCTAGTACTTGATATGGGCGAATTCTTGCTGAGCCTTGTACTCAAGACATTGCTGTTATTAGTGTATACATATTTACTTTACTGAACTTTTGGTACCCGTTTCCATAACTGTCAGCTGATGAAACACAATAAGACGAAATGTAGATGTCTTTTCTATTCGTTTGTGAAGTTGAAGGCGTTCTAAGATACAACATAGGTGATCCTATGTGAATATGAGGATAAAACGAACTTGATCTATTGTACAGTTTACCATCGGTATCAAATGTCATTGGTGTAAAGTGATTAGAAGTGTTGTTTTGAGTTGCTATATGGTACATATTTATCGTGTACGCAGTTGACCAATTTTACGATGAACGATAAATGAAGTTTCATAAATATTGAAGACCGGTTATGCAGATGATTAAGGGTACTTCAGTTTATTACTGAAATGTTTCACTTAATGCAGCCGCAGGTTTAGGCTGAATTTTAAAAGCATTGGTAATAAAATATGCTTCATTATATGCATGACTACTCTTTCGTTTTTCACTTAACAGACGATAATGTAGTATCAAGTAATCGATAGGATACACTACACACAAACAATAATATGAAAAAGTTTATGGCTCAGCAACTGATTAATTAAACGCGGAAAATGAACCACATACCTTTATCTTAGCATAGTCTGACATAAGTGAGAACTAAATTATGTAAAAAGAAATGCAAAATAAGATTTAGAGTAAACACAAATAAGACAATAGAGTGCGTGTTGTGCAGAGAATTATATACAGAAGTTGTACATTCCATTTAATTTATACTGTGTATAGCTTCCGAATGACGATATGGATTGATAAAATAACTTATTTTTACTACACCAAATCTTCTGTTCCAAATAAGGTGTACGCTGACTGACTATGCTTAACATATCTTAAATAATTTGGTCTAAACACATTCCTAACTCCATTACTTGGTTAATCTTCTTTCCTTAAGTTTATACGGTTAACCTGAACACCAGTTATCTAGTACCTTCATACTATAACAACAACTATGAAAAAGCACACTTGTTCAACTATATGCTAAGCTGCTCACATTGTCTACTACTGCATACCGTGTTTGATAGTTGTCTCATGAAATGAAGTAAGTTACTGCATTGTACATTGAATCTCCGATGAGTAATAAAATAAGTCATCGTGGCTACAAGTTTCAGTTTAGCTTACTTCTTTTGTAAAGATCATTTAAATGGCTTGACGCATAAACAGATATCAAAAATACGAAACAATATGATTAGGGATAAGTTCACTTTGGCATACCTCACATCAGCCCACTGGCAGTGAATCAAAGGAATTGTAAATAAACACAAAAAAATATTATCAACCATTTTTCAAAAAATTAAGGCAAAAAGCAAAAGACCTAGAGTCTTATCATTGAGAAGAGTTTAAAAATTTATGCGAAGAGAACTTCTAGACTTAACTGTTCCGTTATGCTTGATACTTTAGCCAAGATACTTAGCGTATAACCATATCTTACAGTCTTCCCATCTATTCAAACCAAAAAGCCTAAACAGCCACCCATCACCTGCCGAAGACTACATACTGCATCAAAATAATATGGAGTTACACTTTTATTTCTGCTGACACCACACTTTGTTTTAGGTGGTGGATTTGAATCTGGATCATATGTCCCAAATACATCAAACGCTAAATATTTACAACCTGACCCTCTCATCTACATCTGTTATTTACTATTGTACACCTAAATCCTTCACTACTCACAGGTGTTTCCATAATACCTCAGTGATACTAAGAAGTCAAAATTAAAGAAATAACTGAAGGCTTGTAGGATTCTTTACTATTAATAATCATTTTATAATCCTAAAGTAGTACAGATGACGTTGTTACCCTCTTTCCTGAACTGTTATAGGTACTCAGATATTTTGATGAGTGTTACAATCAGTGTATGTTAGCTGAAGTAAACAGAATTCTCCACTGCCTTATACCATTTTGTTTGCTACCATCTCATCAGAACTAATGCTGTACTCAGTTATTAAATAGGTTTACATAAAAGGTGTTTAAACTAGCACTAAATGAGAAGTGCGCTTCTTCAAACTTCTAGTTATATTTTAAGAAATGACATTTTTAAAGACTAAGATCTCATTTTACCCATAAAACTGACTTCTCATCACTTGTCTTTAGATAAACTTATCCAATAGTTGATTCATGAGGGATTTATTTATTTCAGGACTTTCTTTGTCACAGATTGATCGTAGTTGGAGGAGAATTTAAAACCACAGAACACTGAGTGGTCGCCTTATCCTAGTCTGGAGACCCTTACTAATGCGCACTTATTGTGACTAACTGACAATAGTGGAAAATACGAATCATAGGGTAATATACTCACCTACAGGCCTGGCGATCCCAGACTCAACGTCTTGCTGGGTTAGGAGTGTGTAGTGTCTAGGAGTCTCATGTAGGGATGAAACAGCTGTCTAGTACTCTCACATCATCAGTCGATGACGGAAACTACCTTGACAAAAAGTATATATTTCTTATTCTTACTATGACACTATAACAGAAGTAATTAACTGCTACCGAACAAAATTCTTGGAGTACAATTGTGCCTGCCTTTCCTAGTCTTTAAGTCTGAAAACAAAATATACAAACATACGGAAGGCAACGCTATGGGATCATCAATATTTCCAATTGTAGCAAGTTTAGTTGTGAATAGTCGGGAACAAGCAGCTTTTAGAAAATTTAGCCCTATTCTTAAACTGTAGTAACAAATTTACTGTGCTGAGGCCATAGTATATCAATAAATGTTTGAGGGAAATTCATATGTAGATAAAATACAGTTTATTTATAAATTATAGAGTGATGAAGGAGAACTTGCCATGTTGGTTTACAGAATGAAAAAGAGGGAGGATCGGTACTTAAACAAAGTATCTACAGAAAATCTACACATTTGAATTGTTACTTGAACTTTAGGTAGTTCCAACTGGTGTCATTTAAAATAGTGAAGGGTTCAAACAACAGAGCGAAATGTCTGAGCAGTAAAACAGAAAATCTATGACAGGAAATAAGACATTCAATAAATCTCTAGTAAAAAAAGCAAAGTAGTCAGTTGGGCTAAATGAGAATAACACAGCATATAGATCTAGAGTGGTAGACTCTATTAAGGGAATAAATTTACAGAGAAGCTTAACCATGGCAATAAATGGTATCATTAATAGGATGGGACGAAGTGACGGCCTTTATATAAAAATGTAGTAGTAACTGAGGCATTATCTATCGAACCAATGCCGAATACATGCAGTCTGAATGATTCAACGCCTATTCCAGATATTCAGAAAGTTCTAATATCCTTACACGAAATGAAACAGGAGAAATAGAACTGAAAAAGATGTGAAGTTACCTTTGATATGAATATGAACGATAAGTTCTAATCGAACGTCATCTAAAAAATAATACTATTTGATCGACCAACGAAAATAACACTGAATTAAAAAAGAGAAAAAAAGTGTTTGAAACCATTTCATCAACACAATATGATTTTTAGGGTAAGAATGGAGTAAAAATCACGATTTGTTTTTATGGTTTTTTTTGTCTCTCATCCATCGATTTGCGCCTAATTACTTGTAAATGTGTAAGAATATATTTCAATGTCTTAGTGATTGCGTAAACTTATTAAAATTTATATATGTATATAAGATGAATAAACGAAGAATTTTAGCTCAGGCATGCCTACGCACGGCTAAAGGTCATTGTTTTGATTCAAATTTCAATATCTGTATGTATGTAAATACAAAACATTTGAATGATGCTATTTTTTCATCGTATTATTAGTTTGTATATAAAGTGGCAAATATGCATATTTATGTATTTTTTTTGACTAATGAGTTGAAAAGTT